ACTATGCGCAAGGTCTAAGGCCGAGCAACAAAGTAGGACGCAAGCTAAGCGGCTGAATAGAGAGGGCCGTGGTCGGTGGCAAGGGTTCATCAGGCCAGTACAGCTCCACCTGACGGAGTCATAGTGCGGTAGGCCAGAAGGTCGCGGAAGGATTCCCGTTCCCGTTATGTCCGGCCACCCTTTATATCTGCTTTGCCTGCCCGCATTGGCTTCTAATAACGCATTGATTACTACCTTTTCTATGCTCTATGTTATATATATTCAATTATTCCTGCTCTTTCTGCCCTTTCAACCCACCTTGCACGGCGGCTTCAACAGATCAGGGTTTCTCCTGCCTTTCTGATTATCAAGATAGCGTGATTAACGCGCCGATATAGACTCTTATAGCATCTAAATGTGCTGCTTACCTGAGTTTTGAAGGCTAGTAAAGCCTAGAAAGCCTAGGCCTTAGGATGTTCTAAGCGGCGACGCTGCTGACCCCATTCCCATTACCTTGTTGATCAAAGACCAGGTGACTTCGATACCACATGCGACTACAATAGACCCATCTCCACTCGCGATTGCTCCAAGGCGCGCTTGAGTGAAAGTGACTTCGGAGGCGCTAGTCTGCCGTCATATAGATCTCTGCGCATCAAGTCTGGGCCCCACCGAATGGTTTTGGTTTGTCTGTTGTATATATCACTCGGGATGTATTTCTGTAAGTGCCTCCTGGTAACTGAATGGTCACTTGGGCTGCTGATAGCGACGTCCTTCCTCACATGTAACTCTCCTGTAACTAAAGATTGTACTTCCTGGTCATATGTAGTCTATGCGCGACTAGTACATGTTTCACCATTTGGTTCTTATATTAGTCATGAACCTTTATCTAAAGGTGATCAACGGTCCCTCTGAGTCGCTACTGAACGGCCGTCAAGTTAATGCTAACTTAACAGATAGTCACTAAACCTAAAAAGTCCCTCTCCCGGATCCCATATATCCTATGAAGGTACACCCAATACCTCACCCATCTGGTTGAGTGTCATAAGAGGCCGTATCAACGCGATAATAATGGTATCTTGAGAATCAGAAAGGGTAGTAAGGCAGGAGCTACCGCGATCTGTTGAAGTCACCATGCAAGACCAATATAGAGAGCAAAAAAGGTAGAAATACAGGAGCAATTGACCATATATTACACGAAGTATACAAAAAGCAGTAGTAAATAAGTAATTAGAAGCCAAAGCGGGCAAGTAAAGCGGATGTAGGCGGTTGCCGGACATAACGGGAATGGAAATCCTTCCGCGACCTCCCGGCCTACCGCAGCCATAGAACGCTTCGGTCGCGGAACCCAGCCGACGAAGGGCCTCATTGAAGATTTCAAGAAAGAGACGGAAATGGCCGGCTGACGAGCATGCGGGTGAGTGGTGCTTATACGAATTAGACTGGATCCACATCCAAGTATTATTGTAATCAGAAACCCTGAAACGCTATTAATTTATTGCGATACATTGGCGATGACACACCGGCGGTTTTCATCGCATGCCAAGGAAATTGACTGACCATCTCAATATTGATCAATTCGACGCTCCGCTTGTGTATCAACATCTTCTCCCTCTGCATCATGCAAGACACGACTCTGACGAATTTCGATACCAGTGCAATGTTGTTCATTCTGTTTTGACGTCTTCGCCTCCCCAAGAATGGTGTGACAATCATGAACTGCAGAGGATGAGGGCCTTTTGGTTGTCTGAACTGTCTTCTTGCTGTGGAATGGCGTGTACCCGGGTGTGCTACTGTAGACGATGGTATAGTGCGTTGCGTGGGTGGATGCCGATGGGCACCAATTTATGAAGGATTAAGTGAGCAATTGATCACATCGCGTATCATAAGATGATATTGACGATGATGATTACATCTCACCCGTCCGTTCAGCTCACCGTTGCCGTTTTTATCTGGCGGTGTAGCTTGGACACGCTGACCTGGACGTGACCAACAAGGCTGATGCCCTGAGCCGAATTATTCTCTCGAACACCCAACGGATCGTGGCGGTGGGAACACTACAGAAGAAGCTCGGAGCAGCTTGCAAATCCTAGCGGTCTCCGCCCTCCGATCTCCTCCTCTCCCCCTCTCTCGTCTTTCAACTGAATCCCCTTAATCACATCTCGCCCTCCCATTCATCTCACCTCCCGCCTCCAGTCATTGGATGTTCCGTTCAAATTATGCTGATTCAGATGGTCTTACAAGGTTGGAGCAACGCTTCTAGGGCGTAATCTTTGATCTGGATCCTTCCCGCCGCACTTTTGCCCTTGCTTCTGTGCCGCCTGTTTTTCTCGGTCCTTACCGACACACTTTCGCTCCTGCGTCTGGTCGCGTGCCACGAAGAGAAGCAAAAAGCAAGTGACGCCTCGTTGAACTACTTGTGTTACCTGTACGATTAATGCGAATCTACAAGGGACGAATCCCATAAATGACGCAAACTGACTTTGTATGGGCTAGTTTTTCAAACCCCCAGGATACTCGCTCTGATATACCTTTCCCTGTGAACAAATGCTCAAGTCGCTGCAAACGTCGAGTCGTCCCTTCAGGGAGCCTTGACGGCTGGCAACGACGCATTCGAGCAGTTCCTGACTTCACAACGTGACGAGGACCTTGACGGTTCCATCAAAAGCTGGCTGAATCTGCTAAAGCTCTCTCCTCTCAGTCATGACACCCGACCATCGATTCTCAAAAACCAAGGCAAATTGTTACGAGCACGCTTCGACCACAGTGGCGATATAGACGATCTTGATGAGAGCATCCGTCGTCAACAAGCAGCCCTCTCCCTTTGGCCGATAGATCACCCAACCCGACCATCTGCTCTCAGCAAACTAGGTAATGCGCTGCAAACACGATTTCACCTGTGGGGTGGAGTGACCGATTTTGATGACAGCACCGAGAAGCCCTCCCCCTTCATTCAGAGCATCACGCAGATCGTCCAGATGCTCTAAATAACCTCAGCGGTGTACCAAGAATACGTTTCGACCGAAAGGGCGATAAAGCCGATCTCGAGGAGAGCGGGCATCTTTGTCAAGAGGTCCTCCCTCTTCTTACGATGAGCGAATCCAACCATTCGCATATCCTCAACCAAACATTACCTCCGGTGAGTGCGGCCTTCAGTCAAATCCATTAGCATCATTGCGAACATATGAACTGTTTAACAAGGGCAACAAGAAAAGGCCTTCGAACGAAGGCACAGCTTCGGACCGGGCACCATAATTAATTTGGGTGGCGCTGATCGCGTGACTTTCTGTCTCGTGGCTCAGGCGCCGGGGCGACGTAATGTATCGACTTCTCAATGAAGGCAACTTCACCAAAGACATGCTTCATCTTAGGGTGATTGACGATGGTGTTGAAGAAGCGAACGGTGTTTGGGATTCTCGAACGGAATTGGGCATCGCCGAGCGAACCGAAGAGAAGCTTGAGGTCCGCGGCGACGTATATATCGGCGAGCGTGATGCGTTCGCCGACGAGGTACGTCCGATTTTTGAGATGGGCTTCAAGGATGTCGACGCCTGTTGCGATCTTCTCTCGATAATAGGTGTCGGTCTGCAGACACAGAAGAAAACAATCAACGCGTCAGCGCCTTTTGAGGGAAACAGAGGGCGACTTACCACCTTGTTGTATGGCAACGCGTGATGTATCAAATAGAAGTCCGCCCATAGGGGAGTGGTGACTTCGAGAGCCATGTACCAAACCCATTGGTTAATAAGTGCGGTATCCTCCAAGGTTGACCCCAGCAGATTGCCGCTCTTTGCGAGACCAGCAACTAAGACGAGCGTCAAGACACGATGCCAACGTACAGTTATAATTCAAAAAAGACACTCACCATAAGTTGAGATCGCGATGGCCTCAAAGATATTGACGCCACTGGTTGTCTCGAATGCCGGTACTTTGCCCACGGGGAATTTGGCCAAGAACTCGGGCGTCTTGTTGGTTACATGGTGTTCATATGGTTCTCCAATCTTAATATCTATGCCACCATAAGCGGCTATAGCTTGGATCTTGATGTTGGGCGATCTCATCGGTTCCTTATTCGCGTCATTTCTCGCGTCAGTCCAGAAGCCAATCGCGCAAGCGCGATAAATGGCTTACTTGTACGTCCCCGGGGATTCCTGGATACGACCAGAGGGTTCCAGCAGACATGTCGAGGAATTGTTGTAAGGGGGTGGAATATGGAGGGAGACCCAAATATGTAGGTGCAGCGGAACGATTGCGACTTCGGGGAAGACGCCCGAATTTACCCTCGGTTGGTAATGTTGGTTAGAGTCGCGCAGACTAAAGTTGACGCAGGCTTGTAATTCAGCGGTAGGTTCGAGCCTAGGAACATTTACGGTGTTGAATCGCGCTGTAGGGGTTATTCGGGGCTGGGCTGAGATCAGGATTTAGAACTATCATCGCAACTATCAGCGACAGTGATTATCTGCGAACGCAGCAGCCACTCTCGGACCACGTTGCGATGGCGGCGATATCCAGGCTTCTCGAAAAGGTTGGGTTTGGAGCGAGTGGAATGTCCAGAGTGCATGCTCGTTTCATTTAATATGGTTTGCTATTATCTTTGTCACGTGTTTGAGGGACGCGACTTTGAGCACCTGTGGAGTGAGCACCTTCAATATGTTCGAATACCCAAGTTAGTCTACATATCGCCAGTACATTGACGCTAGTAATGAATCGTATTTTTACGATGGTTAAGCAGAGGACGTGGTGCCAATATCGCGATCCGTGTGTCATTATGGAACGAGATATTCCCGAGCCTACTATCCGACTATTGTGCGTACGGACACACTTTGAACTCGCATCAACTCGTCACTCGAGCTCTAGATCTCGCCTTTGCTTTCCACATATACATGGCGTCATTCGCTTCTTCAACCATAGAGGGAAAATGTGCAAACCCTGCCCGCCAAGAGCTCAGGCACAGCAGTGCACAATTGCTATATATGGACACCCAGCCTCCATACAACCTCAAGGTCCAGGCGACAAAAGATATCTGCTTAAGCGGCGAATCGAACGCCGGGCGGGTCGAGTTCGTCGCATGTTTTAAATGCTTGGCAACGACCCAGGTTACCACTACCCCACTTAAGCTTGTTGAAAGTGACTCACCAAAGAGCGTCGATGATGGCTTGTAGGAGGCCTCCAGCTTTTACTCTTTTGCCCATTCCTTCGCTCACTAGTGCAGTGGACATCGTACCGAACTCGATTTCGGGGTTGGCGACAAGAAGTGGGGAAATCGCCCTACCACCGATGGCAACTTCTCCTAACGAAGAGATCAATGTAGCGCACAGGTGGCCGCATCTGAGAAAGCCGACTGCAGGACAGGTGTGAGAATTCGAGAAGACCGACAATGTTAAGGACAGTACTACAGTAAACGTGTTTAATGTTGACTTCCGAGGTATTGCATTGATCCTAAATCTACACATGTCACTATCAACCGTATATACAGTACGCTGCATGAAAGCAGATGTTAATTGTGTTCATCTTTCCCGTTGTAACACCTGCCGAATCTTCTGTCTAAGATCCATGCTGTCGCACTTCAAGATCCACAGGCAGCTGTCGTCTTCCCCGGGGCGAAGGCGTACCGCAGCCCCCACGACACCATCCGCGCCATTTGCAATCCCTAAAAGTTCGTTCTTGCCCTCGGTACCTGCTTACAGGAAAGAAAAATATGGTAAGTCAAGAGCATCGCCACGATCGAATCACCCTGAATGCATACCACCGCTGAAGACATCCGATTCCGGGGCTTCGATCACTAGTCTCAGTTCCTGTAGGTGCTTTGCGATGTCGCTTGGCGACGATTCACCCCATCCGCGACTTGTCGTACGTAGTGTATCCCATGCCGCTCGGAAACGCGCGTGAAATGACACGTCCACCGCCGCAGCTGAGGCAGGCGATGGTGATGGTAATCCAGAAGAGCCGGTCTCAACATGAAAAGGCGACTCTAAAGAGATAAGATCTATCCTAGCGGCCTGAAAAATCTCCTTCAACTTTCTTGCCACAATTGTATGAGCAAAGAAATCACCGCACCATTGCTTCCGGAGACAACTGGTCTCGAGTTGGAGATCCGAGATATTTCAAGTCGCCATACCCGACAGCCAATGCTAGCCTCCCTAGGCTCAAAGTCATAGCCATCGGATCGTCGTCGTCTAGGTGAGGATCAGAAGTGCGACGAGAATAATTTGGCCGGGAAGATGCCGATGGCGTTTTGGACGGGCGTCTGACACGAGGTGGACTGAGCTTTGATGAAGCGACGAGTGGTGCCTCGTATGCGTCGTATTTGAGGCGCTGAGCTGGTCGTGACGATCTCATCGACGAGGCGAGGGACGCTGAAGATGCGATCCTCGTTGGCGATTGTGCTTGGGCCAGCTTTCTGAGTTGGGCCAGATGGGCTGCGTAAGCATCAATTGCCAGCAGAGTATCGGGGAGCTGTCCTCGATCATCGTCAGATACATGCGGGCTTTGCTGTATATAAGATCTCACTGACCGTTGAAGATTTGGCATCTGATATGACCTTCCTTGTAGCCTCAAGGTCCTTCGCGAGATCCAGGAACTGTTTACACCGCTGGAAGGCCCAAAGATCAGTCTCTTATCGCATAGTTCCGTCAAAAGAAAGGAACATACAAAACGAATGTGCCTGCCGGCACTGTCATAAACGCCAGACACAGTAGCCACGATCGTGTCAGGGATCTCCTCGCATCTAGCCATTACACGAATCATCGCGATGAGAAGCGCTTCCCGAAGAGCGGCTTGAGAAATTCAAGCATTAGTTCCCTGTCTTTGTCGGGGGATTGGAAGCTCAGAACTAGAAACGTACGAGATGCTATCTCAAACAGACGGGTCAATCCGGCCAGAACGTCTTGCGCCTCGAGTCCTTTGAGTAAAGAGCCGTATTCGCAGGCGACAGCCGCGCAAAGCAAGACTGCAGTTGGAGTGACGGAACCCTTATCCGTGAAAATGCTGCGGCAGATCGCCTCTGTGAACGATGATCTGAAATCCTCGGAGGCTATCAAAGCCAAGTCTAGTCAGCATCAACGTATACAAAGTCACCAAGTTGGAACCTACCGTCTCGCAAATGACTCAAGACCATCTCTGCGGCTTCTTCCAACACCGCCTTCACACCAGCCCCCAACCCAGCTCTCAACGCCGCCTCCAAATACGCAGTATCCCGCCGGGCTTGTTCCTCTTGAGATACGTCTCGTGGACACTGTACGGCGGCTAGTGTTGTCACGACCCTACCCGAGAAAGCCGCCCCATCGTTCACATCGAGTTGTTGGGCGATCTCGAGTGCTCGAGACGCGTAATGCTCGCATTTCGCCAAGGTGTGTCGCACAGGACCGGGAATGTTTGCAATGTATTGATCGAGATAGGCGATGAGGATGGTTGGGTCGACTCGATTCAGGAGCCTAATAGTCTGTAAACGGAGGTTAGCCGTGTAAGAATGATATATAGCCGAGACAGCTTACCATGACTCTTATGGTACTATCGTTACTAGCCAAAAAGCTCATGATACGATGCACGTCGGCCTCCTCAAGCTGTGCTGATATCTTCTCGCTGGTGCCAATCCAGAGTTGGACTGGTAATGCGAGGAGGCACGAAAGCGCTATGTACTGCTGATTGGCGTTGTTGGAAAACAGCAGAGGCTTGATGGAAGATACTGGGTGCGGGGGACTACCAGGAGATGACATAAAGTGCTCCATCGCATCCGTGGGGAAATGGCTTAGGGCTCTGAAGCAAGCGAGCTTCACTTCTATCACGGGTAGACGATTCAGTTATGTCTCCGTTCATACTTCTCTATTGCGTACCTTGAGAGGAAGTTGTTGCACAACATCGCATGACGACATCCGCGAGCGGTTGATGCTCGCTAGACGAGAACAATTGCCGATTCAATATAGATAATGCTAGTATAAAGCCTAAGAAACTCACACATAAGGAATACTTTCTATAAGGTCTCCGAGCACAGCCACCGCCTTGACTTTTGATACTTGGCTTGATCGTGCTGTCCTGGGCTTTTCAAGCAAGGATATCATGATGGTTGTAATATCACCAAAGGGTGTGATTCCCGCCTGGTACATACATTTTGAGTGGTTGAAACCGAGACACATGTACCTGGCCTCTCACCTTGACAAGATCAACCGCCAATAACATGGCAGCTCCAGTTACTGGATTGTCTTGAAGACGCTTAGTAATTTTACGGGTAGCTCGGTGGAGAATCTCAGGATCGTGTATAGAAAGTCGCCTAAGGGCAGTCATCACCCGATGCTTGACGCGCGCTCTGTTGATCAGCTGGTCAGTATACGAGGATGGGAACGCGGCCGTACACGTACGACTTATGCGATAGCAGGTCCTCCAACCGAGTGTCAATAGCTGGAATAAGATCGGGAGTGGACGATTGGATGAGCGCATCCAAGGCAAGGCAGACTCGGGCCTCGTCGTGGCTTTCTAAGTCCTATAATGCGTTGAGCAAAATTTCGAGGTACTTAGGTGCATGCATATCTTACCTTTCGGTACGTATTAATCAACATGAGCTGCAGTTCATGATCCGGAGGCATTATCTTAATACAGTATTGGTATCCTGGATCGTGTGGTTGAGTTAGTGGCACTGCCCTTACCGTAAGTCGCAACTCACCTACTCGACGGTCGGGGAGGTTTCTGCCTCCTCCAGCCAGGCCTACTGCTGCCGGAAGAGCGAACTCCAAATAATCCTTCTGAGGGAGTTCAAACGTCATGGCCGTCTCGCAATACATCAAGATTAGAAGCATATCTCGACAATAAGGCTAATAGTCCATTTCAATGCATCAAACAATAAGTATAATGTGAAAAAATGTTATCCCAAAGTCCACGTACCGAGGACGATGCAAATGACGGCTTGTGAAAACGATCCCTCATGGTATCGATTTCGTGGATAATCGCTTCATCCGCGAGCCCTGGGTCCTTTGCATTCTCCACTTTTTGTACAAGATTATAATGTTCATGATTTATGGCGCCTGAAGTAGCGTATTTCATCTCCATCGGATGTGAGCGATGTTTGTGATGATGGTTGCAGGTCAATGCCGCGTGGCAAACAAACAATGTGCCTCGATGTTCGTTGCCTGGACCTGACACCTGTTCCTACCAACCCTATTGGAATGCCTCCCGCTCTCGATCCAAAGGATGCTATGAAAGCAAGCGCTAAGGAACTCAACAAGATTCTAAATATGCCTAGATTGTCGACCAAGTTTCGGAGTCAGGCTGATGTCGACGATGGCATCAGGAAGCTACGGCGGTTGATCATAGCAGACGGCATACCATCTAGTACTGTACAGTTTCAAGATCATATACTGATTTAAACTGAAGATTTAAGTTGGATCTAATACTTGGATGCGGCAGGATGCAAGTCTTCGTCCACGAATTTGGAAACTCTTACTTGGCATCACCGGTTCGCTGTCATCGGATGTCTACATCTCATACGTGACAAAAGGACCATGCGCTGTCCGGGAAAAGATTCGGAATGATACTTTTAGGTAAATCCGTTTCCCATTGTCTCTTAAGATCAGTCTTTCTAACGGACCTTTGTCGTCAGGACATTGGCAACGGACCGCGGATTCAAGGACAAAGTGAGCGAGGACATGCTGGTCCGCTTACTAGACGCATTCGTTTGGAGGAGCCATGGTAGATATTCCCACCTACCTTGGTCATCTTTCTTCCTGATTTACTGACCCGCTTTCCGTCAGAGCGCCAGGATCATAGCACCCTTGATTTCACTTATGTGCAGGGAATGAACGTCCTGGCAGCTCCTTTTCTATACACAATGCCCTCAGAAATCGAAGCATTTGCTTGCTTTTCCAAGTTCATCGAGGTCCACTGCCCATTGTATGTGCAGCCAACATTGGAGGGTGTACATCGAGGCTTGAAGGTACGGGTTAAAAGTTTTCGTTGATGAATCCTCTGTATTGATGTTCCGCAGCTACTGGACCAGTGCCTCAAGATTGTTGACGAAGAATTGTATTCCTATTTGCGGAAGAAGAATCTGTCTGCGGAGCTCTATGCCTTTCCATGTTCGTTGGCTTTGTCATTTTGATTGGCTCTATCGGGAGCTGACGAGTCACTTA